TTTTTTTTTTTTTTTTTTTTTTTTTTTGAACCCTGTATTTCTATGACAAGGGAACAGAATGGCTTTTGTGCTTCTTACTTAACTCCTCTGGCTGTAGGCACCAGGGAATTCCAACAGTTAAAAAAAAAATAAATCAGTTAACTGAAGGCCAAAAATCTTTTCCCACCCTAAAGGCCCTGCGGTGATGACATCTATCACAAGTCTTTCTTAGCATGTTATAATGCAAAAGATTCTAATCTTGAAAGGCATTTTATCCCAGGCTGCTCTACCAGGAGGCCTTGATTTGCATGCCGTCTGGCTCTCCTGTCTGCCACAGGCTCTGGTTCTCCCAGGTGAGATGCTGCCAAAGGGACAGAAGTCAGTCCCAAGCACATGCTAGTAATCCACTCCGTCACTGACCTCCTGCCGACTGCTTTGTGAAAAAGAGCCATTTTCCTTTAACCCTAAATGAACAATAAACATCTAGAAGAAACATGAGGTTTTTTTCTAAGTAAAACTTCATCCATTTTTAAGTCCAAATGCCATCCCATGTGGAACTGGGCTGAGATCTGGTATGCTTTCACCTTTCTTGGGAGTTTACAATACAAAGTTCTTGCATGAAGGGAGGATTAAAAAATAGAACTGCTTGTGGTCTGAATTTTTAATAACACAAATTTTTGAGCTTTGTAAGTTGTAAGTTGTAAAGTTTGTAACTTAAACGTTTTCTCTTCATGTGCATGATGGTGGATGAGTTGGGAGAAGGGCTTAAAACCCCTGAAAACAAGGACTTCCTCCTTCATGATGGACCAAGGGTTCATGATAAACTGAGGTCCTTCTCTAAGCAAACAGTAGTCCAGAAATATTTCTCATACCGTCTTTTGATTGTTCTGTCTTTCTTACTACTAAGGAACAACTTAAGGTTACCTAATGATGACTGTTTTTAAGGGGCGATGCTAAATATAATCTTATTTAGTTCTAAAAACACCCTGTGGAGTAGGTAGTATTATCTTCCTGCAGATGAGGACACTAGGTTTAAAGAGAGACCAAACAACATGCCAAAGGTCACATGGCAGAGACCCCAGGGGCAGGGTCTGGGATGCCTCAAACTCATTTCCTGAAATATTACACTACACTGATGGAAAATAAATCGGTAGGCCTCTGGACTTGTGAAAAAGTTATTCAGGCACAGAAGATGGTAAGATCTAGGCACAGTGACACATGCCTGTAATCCCAGGACTCAGGAGGCTGGGGCAGGACGATTGTGATTTCCAGGCCAGCCTGGCTACACAGTGAGTTCAAGGCCAGCCTGAAGAGCATAGCAAGATCGTGACACATAAACAAACAGATGAACAAGCACACAAACAAGGTATATGGAAGCAAAGTTCACCGTTAACTTTTACTGAAAGATAAAAGAAAGGAGGAAGAAGGCAATGGTAGACAGTAAACTCGTAATAATATAATGAAAAAAGAGAAGGCAAGAAAGTAACAATGAAGATGGCCTGCTAGGGTCCCTCTTGAAGTGACTCATCTTGAAAATGAAACAGGAAAGGAACCTCTGGAAGTTGAATAAAGGAAGTGCCTTCTGACCCTTGTCTAGACTCTGAAATGAGCAAACCAATCTGATAAGGAACAGTGTGAAGCAGTGTTTACCAATTTCTGTGAAGCTATGAATATAAAAAAGAGCCCCTGAATCATGAGCCCAGAAGAAATTAAGTTCAATGTTGGTTGTACAGATTCTGACTCACCATTATTTTAGGAGAAAGTCAGATTGCTTTTCTAGATGATTTTAATACCCTCGAATCTTAATCTTATCAAGCTGTGTTAGCTGACAAGCTACTAATGAGTTGATAGGTGGGGTGGATAAAATACGGTGAATGTCACAAATTAAAAATGTATTACATCAGGGGCTGGGGATTTAGCTCAGCGGCATAAGCACCTGCCTTGCAAGCAGGCAGTCTTGAGTTTGGTCCCTGATACCGATAAAAAGGAAAAAGACAAAAGAAAAAAAAATGTATTACATCGAAAGACACACTGCTATGAACCCCTCACTTCACACACACTGGGTCATTCTTGCCACTTTCTGAAGCAGTTCCAGAAGTCCCCTTTTGTGAGCATTTTTAGTTCCACTGTCCTGGCTGCCTGGATGTCCTGAATTGATTTGAAATGTGTAACTCCCCTTGTCATTCTGACTTTAGGGAAGAGCCAGAAGTTAGCCAGATCTGGTCACTCAGCTGGAGGAGGCCACACTAATGTTTTTACAAGCCTGCCTTTTGCCTGGCTAGCACAGAATAGCAGCATTCATCAGATTTTTTATCATACCTGGTAAAGAAAAGGACTTCCAGAATTATGTCAGAAATTTGTAAGAATGACGAAGTGTGTTTAAAGCAAAAGAGAGATTTTGAGGAGGATACATAAAATGTATGTATATATAGCAATGTATCTTTTACTGTAATCATTTTTTAAAAATGTAAACATTCACTGTATAAATTGATCACAGCTTATAAATTGTATTTTACACGCAACATTCAGCAAGACCAGAAAGACTCCTGAGTGCTCTTTCTTAATGTAACATTCAGGAAAAAAGTAAATTAACAAGAGATCTACAGTATTAATATAAGGGGTGTCCGCCTTCAGAAAACATGACAGTCAGTAACTCATGAGACAGGGACAGTTCTCTGCCTTGGCTGGGATTCTTTATTATCCTCTGCACCATCTAAATTTCTGCCCTCTCTACAATGGGAACTGTGGTGTCCGTCAGAGGAGCACTGGTTAACTAAGTTATGCATATCCACATAACAGAACACTTCGTAGTTTTTAGAAAGAGACAAGTGAAACTGGTTTACTCGACAGCTGGAGAAACACCTCAAAGTACAGAAGAATGCGTGCAGCGAGATTGTAGTGAGGTCAGTATCACTTTCTTTGCACTGGTTACCAGGGATGGGGAGAGGCTGCAGAAAGGCTTCCTGCCCTGTCTATACTGTTTGCTTTTTAAAAAAATGATGAATATGCATGACCTTCGTTTAAATAAAAATATGAACCTATAAGTGAAAACGACTTGAAGAATCATTTGAAAATGGGTAACTTTCATTTTCAATGTTACTCATTAGAAGTAACATTATTATTATTATTATTATTATTATTTTGGTATCAGCAATTGAACTCATGACCTTGTGCTTACTAGGCAAGCACATTATTAAAAGTAGATTTTCAAATACAGGCATATTCCTCTTGGAAGTTGTACATTTTTTTCTGAAATTGCTTTTGTTCTCAAGGATTACAGAAAAAGTGTTGCTGGGCATGGTGGCATGTGTCTGTAATTCTAGGACCTGGGAAGCTGAGATAGGATTGCCATGAGTTTGAGGCCAGCCTGGGCTACATAGTGAGTTCAAAGCCAGCCTGGACTACATAGCAAGACACTGTCTCAAAAAAAAAAAAAAAAAAGAAACACAATGCAAGTTGTAGAACTACATGAATATTCCTTTGCTACCCTCAGACTGGTGGATATCACTGCTGAACGATGCTTTCTTGTTCGCATTGACAATTGCTTACTTGCTTTCTTTTTTGGTGGTGATGCTGGGGAGATTAAACCGAGGGCCATGAGCATGCTAGGCAAACACTCTCCCACTGAACTATATCCCCAGTTGGTTTTAAAACTTTTTATTTTGAGACAGGGTCCCAGTAAATTGCCAAGGCTAGCCTTGGACTTGTAATTCTTCTGTGACAGCTTCTCAGTAGCTGGGATTATAGGTGTTACAACTACATGCCAGGTTTTCACTAATAATTTCTGATAAGAAACCTAAATATCCAACTAGTCTTCAATGGAAGGTTTATTTTGGGCCTCTTCTTGTGTCAGTGTCATAACAATATGATGGGGATAAGAAAGGAGCTTTATTTTCAGAACTCAGCGAAGACTGAGCACTGGAACTAGAAGAACACTAAGGTGCACCATGCCACACGATGATTGCAGGGTTGCTTTATGAGGACTGAAGCATGAGACAGGCAGATATGATAGGAGGTGCTTAGGGCTGTCACGTCGAGGTGTGATAATACAGGTTGGCTGACCATGGTCTGTTATTAGAGGCCACTGGCTCACTCCTGCAGTCCCTAGTGACAGCAGTGGAACATGGGAGGGGGGGGTATCAACACCCAGAGGGTACCACGAGTCAGTTCTCTTTTCACTGGAACACTAAAGAGACCAGAGGCAGCTGCACGGTCACCCATTGGGATGCGTCAGTTCAAAAGTGTGCTGTGCACTTAGGCCGAGTCAAGTCAAATTTAAAGAGAAAAATGATAACTTTTTTAGTTCTTGGACACCCCAACTTGGTGGACTAGGACTCTTTTTAATGAATAGCACATTGCTTATTTTTCTTTACAAAAAGTACGTTTATTGCAGAAAACTGTAAAACAAAGTTAAGTAAAAACTAAAACCCATAGAAAGGAGGTTTTTGTAACTATACCACTGAGTTATAATCAGCACCAAAGATTTTGGCTTATGCCTTCAGAATTTATCCATTGTATACCCATCTGATGCAAATACGTACACATATGCATCAGTTCATATTTATAAAACAAATGACAGCATCTTTTCTTTTTTTTTGGACCAGGAATCACGACCTCACACTTGCCAGGTAGGCACTTATGCCTGCTGAGCTAAATCCCTGGCCACATCTTTCTTGTACTAATTTAGAATAGAGACCTAACTGCAGGTGCTTGTGAACTACGCTTGGCTGATGTCTTGTGGCTGCATCTTACCACCTCAGAACAATAGGTCAGACACGGAATTATGTAAACAGGGCATAAATGAATTCTAGAAGAAAATGCCTGCATTCTCCACCCTAATAACCAATTTCATTGAATTGAATTCAACCAATTTCATTTCATTGAATCGGAGTCCTCTCTGAAAATGGCTTCAATAAGCAAGGTCCTCGGCCCAAGACTGCTCAAGGTACCCCTTAAAGGGACATCACAAGCTCTAGAACAATACAGCCTTCTCCTAAACATCTGAAACGATTCATACTTACCTTCCGAGGCTTCACCTTATCTTGCAAGTCATACTGGCCAATTCCTTTATAACTGATTCCAAGCCACCAAGGAAGTCCTTGTTTATCCTAGGAGATGGAAAAGCATGAGAACAGCACCCTGTTATTACGTCTTCTTAAGGTGAGATAATATTTACCAATTTTCTCCCTCAACAAGTATCAAGACGTTCAAAATAACATTGTTTGGTAAACAAAGCACTACTTTTAACCTCTTTACAAAAATGCTTTCTTAGTGTTTCTTGTGATGAAACATTTTAAATCAAAAGAAACCAACACTGGTAATCTATCAATAAAGAATGAAACAGTATTCTAAGGTTTTTTGTGTTTGTTTTGGAGACAGGGTCTCACTGTGTACTTCAGGCTGACCTTGAATTCACTTATGTAGCCTAGACTGGCCTTGAACTTGTGATCCTCCTGCCTCAGCCTCCCAAGTGCTAGGATTACAGGCCTGCACCACTACACTGGCATGAAACAGTATTGCTTTGATCAAACATTTTAAGACAAATAAAATGTAAATGATTCAACAAATAATCAATCCCACCTGGGTTTGGTAGGACACACTTGTAATCCCAGCGCTTAGGAGGATGAGGCAGAAGAATCACAGTTCAAGCCTGGGCTACAGAATGAGTTCAAGGCCACCCTGAATGACACATTGACACCCAGTCTCAAAAAATGAAAGAAAGAAAGAAGCAAAGAAAAGATGAAAGAAGGAAAGCATGCAAGCAAGCTAGTTATAAACTAATAAAAAGATGAGTGTTCTCTCAATCCCCATAACCAGTTATAAAGGTTGGGGAAGTTTCCAAAGAATTACAAAGATGAAAAGAAGTGGTTTCCAAATCTTGATGTTTATAATACAATGAACAATGAAGGTAAAAATATTTTTTAAAAAACATTTTGAGGGAATGTACAATTCAATACCAGGATGTTTGCATAATCAGTCTGAGGTACTTATGAGCAGGGAAGTGATTTATTTTTTCATAAATTTGTTTTAGCTCTTGCCAAAGGAAAGGATATTTTGACCTAGGGACAGAAAAATTTAGGCTTCATCATATACCTATATGCAAATCAAGATCAGTGGAAACAAAATTTAATTGGCAAACATTTTTAGAACAGGGTATTTTCATTATACAAGTAGTTATTATCTAGTTTCCTAAATCTTTGATAGTAAAGGCTTTTTAGCATCAAAACCCTCAAGAACCGGTCAATGTTATAATTATTCCTGGTCTAGGATGTAGCTTACAGTAGTAAAACACCACTGAGCCCCTGGTTTAATCCCTACCACTGCAAAAATAAAAATAAATAGTAAGTACTGTAAATAAATAAAAAGTTATTTCTCTTTCAAACCAGACTCTCTTCTTAAACTATGCTCTGTCTCTTAACATTTCAAAAATATTTCTTAGCCTCTTTCTGCTTGCAAACACCGGAAAATTCTATGCAAATACAAAATATATTGTGTGAAAAGTGGGATCGCGAATCTTGCAAAAATGTCAGCACCTCTTGAAGCCGTTGAAAGAACAGTGGAGAAGGCACGATTCTCACAAGCAGCACAATGAAAGGAAGGCCTGATGGAATTATAGGGTGAACAATTGGAAAAGAAAATCAGCGGGGGTAAGAAAAAAGAAAGGTCTAGGGCTGGGTGTAGCTCAGTGCCCAGCATGAACTGAGCGACATGAGACCCTGGGTCCAGTCCCCCCAAGCCCTCCTCCCTCACAGTACCTCAGGCTTGTAAGAGGCCTGGGTAAAACACCTGAACGTATCAAGTACTTTGCAAAAATGAAATGCTTCATAGTTTACTAAAAGTGTAAGATATCATCAAGCCGTAAAGTTTGAAGAAAGCCATTTCTATTTGAAATGCTGTAAACATTCCTACAGACAGTTTACACGTACATGCACATTGTTAAGTGATTTTAGAAAGCTGGCTTTTGTCCAGTAACTCCAAGAGTCACGGTCATTTGAAAGCTTTGTAATGTAGAAAGTATTTACCTTTACTGCGTAGTAATGGACTCCGTAAGTTGGCAGAGCCTCTACTATTTTCATATACCTATGGAAGAGGAATATATATCATCCTCATTAAACGAGTCAAAGGGCTCTTTCCAGAAAAGTGATTTAAGGAAATACGATTGGTTTCTATTTTCCTCATTTAAACTGTGACTAATGTCTTTGACGCAAGCAGAAATAGAACAAACCATTATGGGGATTAATGTAGTTTATACCTTATTCATACATAGGAACTTTCTAACCAAGTATTAATTTCAAAGAGCTATAGGAAATGTTATTTTCTGTGTAAGTTCAAGCCTAGAATGGGCAACTTAAAGATTTAGCAAGACCCTATCTCAAAATAAAAATTAAACAAGGTGTGGTGGCCTATGCCTGTGATTCCCAGCCCTTGTGAGGCTGAGGCAGGAGGATTGCTATGAATTCAAGGCAAGCCAGGGCTATATAGTTCAAAATCAGCCTGAACTACATAGTGAGACCCTGTCTCAAAACAAACAAACAAACAAAAATAAATAAATAAAAAGATGAGCTTTGTGGTTGTAAACCTGATTTAAAAACTAGGTATGGGGAAAGCCAGGCGTGGTGGAGCACTCCTATGTATTTCAAAAATAAAGACTATGGCAAAAAGAAGCTAACACTTGCTATTTTTAATTCAAGAAATCTTTGAATGAACTCAGGAGAGGCGGTGCACTTCTGTATTCCCAATCCATGGGAGGCGAAGGCAGGAGGCCAGCTTGGGCTATGTACTGAGAACTTGTGTTTAAAAACAAACAACAGCCAGGGATTTAGCTCAGTGGCACAAGCACCTGCCTGGCAAGCCTGAGATTTTGATTTCAATCCTAGTACAAAAAAAAAAAAGAGAAAGAAAGAAAGAAAAAGAAAAAACAAACAACAACAATAAAAATCATTTATACTTTTCAGGTTTTGGAGTAGATTGACTTGTATAAGATTCCTCTCTGCCTTCAAGGAAATGAGGTTCTTGTTCAATTCAAGTGGACTTTAAAATGATATTCCAAAGACCAATTTCTCTGGACATGGTAATCAATAATGTAATACTTTTTTTTTTTTTTTCTAAGCAAATGGCCTTCGTGTAAACGATCTGGACTCCACAGCAGGGTCTGAGCAGCTGCATTAAACAATCCCTGGTTGGAGCCACACCACACTGATCAAGGGGAGGAGAAACAAACAGACCCTGCAAGTAAGAAAGGACACTTTATGTGTGAAGGTACGAACAGCTATTTTGAGAACAAGAGATACTACGGCAGTCACTGGTGATTTTCCTATTGTCTGGTTTTAAAGGCCTATAATGCTTTCATTCTTTTGATAGGTTTTATACTAGTTTGTCTTGTTTAAATTCATTGTGTGTGAAGATATGTACAACTATTTCAAAGAAAACAGGAGACATTTTGGTAGGCAGTGTTGATTTCCTGTTGTCTTGTTTTGAAATCCTGTGTTGCCTGCATTGTTTTGCTCTGATCTGCTTTGTTCTGTTTTATTCTCTTTAAAGTAAAAAAAAGGAGAGAAAGAAAAAAAAAATAAAGGCTATTTTGTAACATGCTTATCGGCCTCACTAAAACCCTTAGTAGTTACTACCTTCTTTCCTTCTCCCTTCTTTCCTGCCTCCTTTCCTTCATCTTTCTCTATGTCCAGCACAAGAAACAGAGTAATGAGTTAAAAGGTCAAGACTTCAATGTGACATCTGCCCTGAAGACCACCACAGGTGTGTCACAGTAAAAACCAGATGGCAGTGGGAATGCAAGGAAAGAATATGCCTGGATCAGGATGGGGGAGGTGGGCCTTTAGCCCAGCTCTCATATGCCCTGTGCTAGGCTTGGAAGATTGTTTTTTTTTTTTTTTAATTGTATAGTTAAAGTTCTACTCGTCAATTACTACACTAATAATGCACTTAAATTGATCGTTTTTAATAAGTTTTAGAAATTTAATGTATAGGTGAATGATTTTTTTCCTTGGTGGAGTACTCGGACTGATCTGAGGACTTTCATTTGCACTGAGCCATATTCTCAGATCATTTTTAATTTTTAACTTTTCTTTTTGATATAGGGTCTTGGTAAATCACTAATTTATCCAGGCTGGCTCAAAATTAGGATCCTCCTGCCTCAGCCTTCCAAAGTACTGGGAATACAGGGGTGTGTCACTATGCCTATCTAAGTGAAAGTTCTTAATAAGTCAGTACCTGACTCCACAATGGTGAAATACAGAAATGTATCCCTCTAGTTCTTCACAGCAGGAAGAAACCAATTAATCAACACCAATATGCTATGTGCTCCACTCAAGTAGAATCAAAAACTGAATTTTGAGCTTCTCTTTGCATATACTGGAGGACCTGGCATCCTCGGGTCTGGACTCTGAAGCTAAGCAAACCCACTCCTATGTGTGGTGAGAGCTGTCTGATTCTTCCCACGGTTCCCACCCGACCTGCGGGTCAGTTCCAATAGCCACCTGCCAGGGTAAGCACCTGTGAAGGTAGCACCAGGATATGGGACAACCGAAGGCATTTTCTAATTGTGGAAAGCTATTTCTAACTGAAAACCGTGTACACAAAAACTACACCACAACAATGATTTTAAATGACTTCTTCCAGTGGAGCCGTTAGAATGGTATCTCAGCAAAAGGACGGCGAAGATACTTACTGCACCACAGCCTGTCCTCGAGTCAGACCTTTGATTTTCAGATAATGCTCGATCACTCTGTCCTCACTGTAAAAAAGGAAATAAAAAGCACAGCAACTCATGATTACCTGAGGCACAGACTCTACTTGCAGATCTCTGAGTGGCTACTAGGTGGCTACTAGACGAGGCCCTAACCAACCCGTTCAGAAGACACAGTGGGGTCAACTTCTGTTCTGTAGCACACGGATTTCTGGATTTCAGACATTTTGAGATAGGAGATTAGGGTGTGGCAAAGCTGGCTGGGGAAGCAGGCATGACCTGTTAATTACAAAATCCCAGACACGGATACCTGTGCAGAACAGTTCCCAAACCCCCACATGTGGACTTGTGCAAGAACTCGAGCAGGTTTTCAACGGGATGGCCTAGACCTGTCCCTAGCCTGAGATGTAGGATCCCAGCACTGCCTTTCAGGACCTGTATGGAGAAGTTCTCTTGAGATTTGGACAATATAAAGGCCACTTCAGTGCCACGAAGAGCTTGCTAGCGTAACCTTCCATGATAGCCATGCTGTGTTTATTTTTGCCTTTAGCATCTTTTTCTCTTTAATTGACCCAAGTTCACTCTGCAGAGCCAGTTTATCCCCTCGCTCTTCAACTTATGCTTTCTTGAATAAACTAGGCCACTGGTTTTCCATATCCGTTCAATTCTTTATTCAAGATGAGAAGAATGGGGAATCCAACTCCAGAGGGAGAGGTGAGCAACCCAGAATCCAGTAACCTTTAGTGGGGGATCCACTTCAGAAGCAAGCTACCTGGTAACAATTTGATGGCCTCCATTATGATATTTAAAGATATTTACATGACATGCCCTTAAGTTATAAAAATATCATTCACTAGAAAAGGAAACGAGGTAAGTTTCTCTAATGGAAAATTAATATCTTGGATGGAAAATGATAAATACAAAAAAAATTAAATCCTAGTTGGAGAACATTGAACCTAAGAGCTGGCCTCCTCCTTTTGGTTAGGAAAGGGGGATGGATCAGCAAGTATTAGGTGTTACAGACTTTTTCCTTGAATTATTTAGACAGATTTAAAAGTAAAACTGCTTTGAGTCAGTGTGCAATCCAGACTACTCTTATTGTTGGCACAGTGACACAGGGCTTCAGGAGAAAACCCTTCCCACCTGGCTAAAATCAACTGCCTCACCCCATTTTCAGACAGGCAACTTTTCTTATCCTATCTAAAGAGTAACCTAGAAAACTAAAAATGTTTATTTTTATATGTCTTTTAAAAGAATACTTTTAACAATGATTTAGTTGGGTATGGAGGTACATGCCTGTGATCCCAGAACTCTGGGAGGCTGAGGCAGGAGGCCTGCAAATTTTAGCCCCCACCCTGGGCAATCTGGAGATTCCATGAGATCCTGTCTCAAAATAAATAAAAAGAGGCTGAAGATACAGCTCAATGTGAAGACCCTGAGTTCAATCACAAGTCCCCTCTTCAAACAAGCAAAATAAAAATAAAAACAAAATACACACATACAAAAAAAAATCCAAAATGAAAACTAGTAACTTGTTAGAAAGTTCAAGAGTTAGAGTAGAATGTGGTCCTTACACTCAACTTCACTATATATTTGAGAAACCAATTCCAATCTTCATATTAAGCTTTCAAAGTCGAATATTTTATAATTTTTATTTTGTAATTTTTTGGTGTGCAGTGTAGGTATCAAACTCAGGGTCTCAATCATGTTAGGCAAATCCTCTACCACCAAGCTATTTAGCCAGCCTTATTATGGGAAATCATTTTCAAGACTTGAAAAGTGAAACCAAGGAGCTTATATTTAAAGGGAATGTAAGTCATTTGAAAAGAAAAAAAAAATGGTTTCTGGGAACGAATTGGGAGTGTTAAATAAGTACGATGGACTTGCTAAAATACAAATGAAAACAACTCAAAACATACAATGATGTCCAGCAGCAGACCCTTTAGAAGTGCTCTGGTCAAGAATATCTGTATTTTATACCATACCGTGTTCTGCTCGATGAAGCCTGAGCCACACAGTGACAGGTACTGAGCACAGTTCACCCAACAATGCTTCAAAGGGCAGCTCAGCCACTTCAGGGAGATGCACAGGGACAGCCACTCTTACACTGCCCTGCAAGGCATGGCTTGGCATGACAATCTCCTGTGAGTTTCCATCCTGACAGCTCCCAGCAGGGGGATCCGGACTCACCAGTATGCCAGGGAAGGGTGCTCCTGGAGAGTTTTTGTTGGGAAGGCTGGCAGTGTCTTTAAATCTTTCCTGGCATTTTCATCACTGAAAAGAAACATAATACGGTAATGTCAGGCACCTTCACCTAAAGTTACTCAAGCTGCCTACCAAAAGAATGAGACCTGAAAAGTCACAGCTCATGGGATGTTGGGTTCTCTTAACATGTCCACACATACAAAGTACTGTGCTCTGAGGAGAAACAGCCCTCGGATTTGACAGTCAAGACATGCAGTGGTATCTGGAGATTATAATACTTCCTGTATGTATCTATTTTATTATATCACAATTAGAATTGTGCATTTTTCCTATTGTGTTTTTATACAGCAGTCTTCACACTTCTTTGTGAACTCCATATCTCCACATTTGTGTAGCATCTGGTCACTTATCTTTAGTGGCTACACAACATTCACCATGTTGGAATACAGGTTATCATACATCCATTCATTCGCATAGCATTGTCAACCTTTCACCATAGATACTGCAATAAGATGGTTTTGGTAGTAGAACTTTCTACTACCCTTTGTTGGTTTTCCACCAGACTTGGAAATAAAATGGACCAAGTCAGAACTCTCTGTGGAAATTTCATTTCTGTGGAAATTTCTGGAAATAGAAGAGGACTGGAGAATGTGTCTGATGAAACCCAAGATAGCCCTCAAACTGCATCAATTGGGCTCAAATGCATCTTGTGTGAAGTTTTGCTGTTCTCTCGTTATAAAATGGCAAGACAACAGTTGTTCAGAGAAAGGTGTGGCCTTCATGAAACTGAGAAGGAACGAGTCTATGAAGAAGTAAGAAGAGCCGGTTATAGGTGGTCCTGCACTGTGTGAGAGAAAAGACTCTGACTGGCACTAGGGTTGGAGGAGACAATCTGAGGAAACAGATGGGACTCTGTGGGAGCTGCGAGGCCTCAGAGAAACCCAAGAAGACGCTGCTCACAGTCCTCGACCCACTGTGCTCATGGCACAGCACGATGCTGACTCTTCCTCCTCCCACTCTTACCAGCCCTTGTGGAGAGGTTACAAGCATCAGCACCATGTTTAAAAGGTTATTTTCCTCACGGAAGGCTCACCACTAGCCTTCCCATGCAGAGTGCTGTTATAACCCATGCTCTGTGGGATGTTTAGAGAGAAGACGTCTCCATGTTTCACTGCTACTCTGTAGGGGACCCAGAAGGAACCAGTCTGGTTGGCCCTAAGTTCATTTTCGGTGTGCATGTGTTTGTGTGGGGGGTACTGGGGATGGAAGTCAGGGCCTCCAACATGCTGGCCAGATACTCTACCACTGAGCCTCTGGAGACCAGGCTCTTAACCACCGCATTACTGGAGTCTCAGGCAGACTTTAGGGAGGTGTCCCAAGTGCAGACAGGAACACTCTGGTCTCTGGGAAGACTCCGCTCTGCTTCTACCCAACCCCAAGGGCCAAATAAAAACAATAACAAATCAAGTTTCACACTCCATCATGTATGCGGTTTTATTTAGTTTCCCTGGGTTTGCCCAAAGGGGATCATGACACTGAAGTAGTGGATCATCCCGCCCCCGCCCCAGCAAGCAGAGGACAAATGTGGATTCGAGATGAATTTCCTCCCAAAGCATCAATGCCACACTCAAATCAAGTGCTACTACGCCCAGGTCACCCTGGGGTCCAGCCATGGCCTGCAGGGGCTCAGCCCAGCCACACTCTGCTGCCCTGGAAACCGCTCACTGCCATCCATCCCTCATCAGCTTGTGGGTTTCTCCTTTAGTGCCTGCACAAAGTTTATGTTCTGGTTCTGTCACCAAGTTTCATGACCACGCCACAGGACAAGGAAGTGAGCCCGCTGAGCAGGCTCTACATAATTTACTGTCTTTTCTTAAGAATAGATAAGACGAGAGAGCCTGGCATCTTGCTTGGAGACATTGTGATTTGTACCTGTCAATGTTATTATTATTATTTTTTTTTTTTTTGCTTTAAAGTTGTATTTACTTGATTAGGCATGAGGTGAAGAACTTTCCCATATTTAAAAAAATATTATTTTAAAAATCAAAACAGAGCCAGGGGTGGTGTTGCATGCCCATAATCACAGCACTTGGGAGGCTGAGGCAGGAGGATCCTTACAAGTCTGAGACCAGCCTCAGCTACAAAATGAGCTCAAGGCCAGTCTGAGCTACATAGTGAGACCCTGTCTCAAAAAGACAAAAACAAACAAACAAAAAAAATCAAAACAGAAAAAAGGATAGAAACGATACTGAATTTCAAAAATAATAGTAGGAAATTAATACTAGTTAATATAATGCATATTGCTATCTTAGAAGTGCTTGTTCAGGTTACAAGACTTAGGCATAAAAAATGATCAAATGATCAAACAATCAAACAATGAAAGCACAAACTGTTCTTTTTGATAAACTAATAGATTAGTAGTATAGTTATCTATTTTGTATGTGTATATAACATATATGTATATATTTGTGCAGTCAACATTACATTTTAAAAGCAGGGTTATGGCCCTTCCTGCAGGTGAATGATTTAGCTTTCTAAATTACTGCAGGAAATACGAAGTCACTAGGCTCCTGTTATTACATAAGAATAAACCTCTCTATTCATTTAAAATGTGAGCGGTTAATCTTAATCACACTGACAATCTTGGGAAACTGGTTTGGGTTTCCGGAAAATCAAAATATACCACAATCCAATTTATCCATATTAAAGGTCAACCGTCAACTTCCAGGGTTAATATTTATTTTGCTTAATAATTTCTCTCATGCTCTGTTCTAAAAAGCCTGTTTTTCTTTTTGCAGTGCAAAGGGTGGAACCAGGGCCTCAAGCATGCGAGGCAAGTGCTCAGCCGCCCGCTCCTTCCCCCTGCTATGGCCATTTACATTTAATAGAAGGCTGCTGTGGTGGTTTCCTTCTTATGAGGGGCAAATACACATATATTTTCTAAAGCAATAAACTAAAGACAACACTGTTTTCATCACCACCAATCACACACACATTGTTATATTTTTGGATTCAAGTGAATGTATTCCAAGAATCCAGCCTACTATTCACTTATGGCCTTAGGTTATAGAAACTGCTGTGGTAATCAAGATCCTAGTTTGTTAGATATTGCTATGTATCATAATTTGACTTATTCATTTATTTTTATTTATTTATTTTTTTGTCTTTTTCGTTTTTATCGGTACCAGGGATCGAACTCATGACCGCACACTTGCAAGGCAGGTGCTTATGCCACTGAGCTAAATCCCCAGCCCCGACTTACTCATTTAACAAGTATGTGTAAGTCTCTACTGCATGCCTAATATAGAACCAAGTGTCATATGTTGGTGTGACTTTTAACTCACACAAAGGTAGTGAGACAAAAAAAAAAAAAAAAAAAAAAAAAAAACAGGAACAAAGAGTATGAGAAAAATTATTCAAATGCTACTCAAAAGCTCACAGTTGAGAAGAAGCACAAAATGGGAGACTTGTATCTCCTGCCCTTTAGGATGGTTTTTGTGCTGTGCCCCTCAGATCATAAGCATTTCCTAGCATTTAAGCACTTAATGCAGGGGCTGAATGCAGCAACTTGTGGGTCTAGGGTGTAACTAGAGAAGTAAATAGTTGTATGCTTCAAGTGGAGAGAAATATTGCCTGTACTGGAGGAGTTTTGGGGGGGCGGGGTGGGTGGAGTCAGGGTCTCGATGTGTAGCTGAGGCTAGCCTTGAACTCAACATGTAGTCCAGGCTGGCCTTGAACTCATGGAGATTCTCCTGCTTCAGCTTCTCAGGTGCTGGGAGTACAGGTGTGTGCCTCCACACCCAGCTAGAGTTGGAGTTTTTGAAAGATAAATTTTGGTCTTCAACACATCATATTATCGAATCTTTTCTAGAAAAATTTTTACTCTACACAATTAGAACTTATACAATTTATAAGAAGTGATACAGCATTATTTATCTAGAAATATTGGCTGAATAAATCCATAAATTATTAGAGATTAATCATGACCCAGCACCCTAGAGAACAATGAATATTCACTGAGACCTTTTGTTGTATAATCAATCACTGCAAAACAACTGAAATACGTATTATCAGAAAAGTGGCTTAGCGATCATTTTAAGGAGAATTATATTACTTTAAAGAGAAATTTAGTCAGTCCTATTGATCCACCATGGGTTTCACATCTGTGAATTCAATCAATTATAGGCTGAACACATTAAAATAAATTTAGGTTTGTTTTGAATACATACTGCCTTTTCCTTTATCATTATTCTCAAAACAAAATAGTAATAACTATTTACATAGCATTTACATCATAGTAGGTATAAACCATCTAGAGAAGATTCCAAGTGCATGGGAGCGCGTGTGTAGGGGACATTAAAATACCACACCATTCTATGCAAAGGACCTGAGAATCTTCAAATTTTGTCATGGGGGTGGTGGTGGTCCTAGATCCAGTTCTCCATGAATACTATGGGACCATTCTACTTCAGCAGATGGAGCACAGGGAGTGTTTTTTAACGTGGTAAAATTATTCTTATTCTATTTATTTAAAATTATTCTTATTCTATTCTTATTCTAAAATTATTCTTATTCTAAGATGACACAAAGATTTGTCAAAATGGCAGGAACCTGGAACACACAGCAGGAAGAGTAAACCCTAGTCTGTCTCCAGGCTTCTGTAACATGCACCACACTAACACAAGCTGTTAATAGTAAGGTAAGCAGTGTGTGAGGAAGGAGAGGAGCTGCGTAGGAACTCCGCACTTTCTGCTCCATTTTTCGGTAAGCTTAAAACTGCTCTAAAAAATAGTCTGTTGAGAACAAAAAGAACAAGAATATACTTTAGATTAGTGGTTTTCAATTGGGACAATTTTGTCCCGAATTTGGCAATTCTTGATACAGCTGAGGAAGAAGGTGTTCATGGTAGTCCTTGGATAGAGGTCATGATGCTGCTGACATCCCACATGCACCAGACAGCCTCAGCAACAGAGAATTAGCTCACCCCAAATGTCAATAATGCCAATGTTGAGGAACTCCACATTCGATTATTTAAACAATTCTGAGGTGACTGGGGACATGTGCCTAGT